CTCACCTTTCATTAAGAAAAAAAGTTTCATTTCATGGAATAAGATACTTCCTTAATATCTCTTTCTTTTTGGGTGATTTTCCTCTTTTCTTCCTCTTTCTTTTCATCATCATCTTCCACCATCAACAAGGTGGGGCACTTCCTTATAAACTTGCATCATTATAAAAATTTCAATCATGATGATGCTCATCATCATGGTGTAGATAAAGTAACTAGGCTATCAAAGGATAATTTGTTTAGCTAATAAAGGGAAGTTCAAAATTTCAATTTTTCAGGAAAAAAACAAAATTTCTCAATGAGATTTCATGATAATGAATGATGATGATGAGAAAGGTGGGCTCATGGTAATGATGATGAAATGATCATCTCTCTCTCTCTCTCTCTCTCTCTCTTGGAAGAGTTTGAATAAAGCGATTTTTTCACTTTTTCTCTCAGGTAAACAAGTGATTTTCCAAATTAATCGTTAATTATCAATGGAAATTCAACTTAAATTGTTAACCTCCCAAAAAGGAATAATTTATTGTCTTTATCATCCTCATCTTCATCATCATGAAAATTTCAACTCTTTCTCTTAAAGTTCATTCATCATTGTCAACGGAACTAATTCAATCTCATGAATCAACTTTTCCTCTTCCTTTAATTATTAATATCATTTTCTATCCAATCAATTAAACAGGTTAGACAATCAGAACCCTTTTCCAATACCATCAATGTAACAATTTACTAATTATGATAAACAATAAACAGTTAATATTAAAAAAAAAGAGAGTACAATTATCATAATCATGATAATGATCAAATTAAAAGTGTGATAATTTAAATTGCTATTTAAATTAATAACGATGAATTAATAACAAACGTTAAGGCTCACGTAATGATAATAAAAAAAAAAGTTTAATCGCCATTGGCTATTTAATTTGATAGTAATTAAATCAGATTTAAATGATCACCCATCAAGTTTACAATTTAAATTGTTACATTGATAATTATTTTCATGTTACTTTGCTGTTACTATATTTGAATATCATGATCTTTATGGTGAAAGGTAATTGAATTGATCAGAATGAGATAAAATTTCCGATTCATTTTCATTCATCATTCTTGGAACTTTTTTCCTCCATGAAATTGAATTTGAATCCTCTTTTAATTCTAACCCATTCGTCTCAGTTATACTCTCTCTCTCTCTCTCTCTCTCTCTCTCTCTCTCTCTCTCTCTCTCTCTCTCTCTTACATGATCTTTATCTTTTCTCTTACAAAATCATCTTCTGTTTCTCTTCCTCCCTCCAAATTATTCCGGTTTCTTATCATTTCCATCATCATCTTAATATCTTGACTTAAGGTTGCCAGAACTAAGAGCTCACTCTTGGTGTGAAAGAGAAGAGAGAGAGAGAGAGAAAGAAAGAAAGAAAGACAGAAAGAGCTGATGATGAGGGGGAAAGATGAGGAAGCCAGTGAAGAGGGAGAATACATGATGAAGAGGAAGATCATTGATGATGAAAGAAAGGGAAGAGAGCAACTGAACTGAGAGCTCTTACTCATTCGATTCATAATCTCTCTCTCTCTCTCTCTCTCTCTCTCTCTCTTTTTCATCATCATCATCATTGACCGTGAACTTGTAATCTTTTCCCCCTCTTTCTCTTCCTGAATAACGGGACTTCATTTTTCTCTTTCTTTTCCTCTTTCTTCATCTTTTATCGTTTTCAACTTTTATTTTTTATTGTTTTTTTTTACTTTAAACAAAAAAGTAATGATAATTATTTAGTCTACAAACAATGAACTCTGATAACGATAATTGTAACGTCGTTGAAACTTGATTTCGTTGCAACGATAATCATTTCAGTGTAAAAGAAAGCAGGTTGACAATTTCAATGATGAGCTCAATTAAGATAAACTGATCATCAGCTGATTAACAATCACGGAATATAAATTTTCATTTTTGTTAATGGAAACAATTTAAAATTGGACAATTAAATTATAGAACTAATTTCAATTGTGATCAAGAAAATTGAACAGAAACAAAAACTAATACGGAAGTGATAAACTTACCAGTCAGTTAATCAATTGTTGAAATTGTCCCAATACAATTAGATTATAATTAATTGATGATTACGATGATGATGGTTTTAATGATGTTAATAATAATAATAAATATATATTTAAATTGTTGCTGGTGATTAGGTTTAATTAGCAAAAACACTTTAACACGTTAAGTTGATTAATGAATATAAATTAAGTTGAACACACAAATAGTAGTTTAAGTTATTCCCTTGGCTTAAATTGTTTTGATTACTATCACAATCAGTTAATTGTTGTAAAGTTATTCCAAAAAAAAGAAATTAAGAATAAGAATCAATTAGTGAATGAAGGAAAACAATTAAACGAAAAAACTGTTAACAATTAACAAACGATTGTATAAATTGTTCCAATGGTTTAAATGAATGAGGAAAAGTTTTGTTATCAAACGAAAAGTAAAGTTTCAATATAAGTGAATATAAATATCAATAAATAAATGGATGACAATAAGTGGATGAAGGATAAATACTCTGATGATGAGGATGCTGATGATTATGAGGATGAGGATAAATAACTTTTTGGATTAATCAGAGATGATAAACTAACGATGTCTAAGAAAATGTTGTTATTAAGTTTGTCGTTGTTGATAAGTTGAGGATAATGAGGAAGAAGGAGAAGAAGATGATGATGATGAAGATCTGAAGAATGAAGATGAAAACGATGATGGTGAAAAAGATGAGGATGATTTGAACATTTCTTTTCAAGATCAACTTTAATTCTGAATGAAAAATGTGAAGTGAGAAAAAAAAATCAACTCATAAAGCAAACAACAAACAGAACAACTAAAAAAAAAGAGCAGTAACAGTAACACAACAGGAATGGAAGAAAATTTCAGCCCCGGCTCACAGTTCAGGGTGAGAAGAGATGATGATAGAAAGAGAGATTATTTGAAAAAAGAAAGAGAAAGAGAGAAAGAAGAGAAAGGGAAAAAAAGAAAGAGAAACATGAGGGCAACTTGATGGAAGCGCCTCCATCGCCATTTTCCAAAATGCTTATAATCAGGTTTTCCAGGCAAACACAGAGTTGGAACCCTGTTTTCTAAACGGTATCATCTTCATCTTCCTCATCCTCATCATCTCTATCATTACCATCTCTAAGGTATCATCATCATCATCATCATCATCAACATCAACATCGTTATTACATCAATAGGAATGCAAAATATTCACACAGGTAAAAAGATGATACCTGGGATAGAGAGTCGATGGGAGAACCTGTGAAACTTTGTCTAACTTTTACTCTTCCGCCGTTAATTTGGATCCAATCATATTTGAATTATCGATTTCCAATCAATCAGCTCATCAGAATTTGAAAACAATCAGAATAGGGAAACTCTCTTACCTGTGTAATAAGCTTAATCCTTTTCGCTGTTGATAATTGTGCTTTTTTTAGCTTCAACTAATTGGATTATCTTGAAGGCTTTTGCTTATGGTTTTGTTTTTTTATGTTTTATTATTATATTGAAATTGTTTTTTTACTCTTCCTTTTTGTTTTGTTTTCTTGTTAACCCTTACCTGGTTTACCTGTGTATGAGTGAGAAAGCAATTGTTTTGTCATTGATATTATTATTAGATATTGTCAATTACTTACAAAAAAGTCACTTCTATAAAAGTTTTACCACCGGAGGGCAAATGAGCTGGTAAAAAACTCGTACAACATTTAACTCTTTAGTTTTGTTTTATTTTTTATTCTTTTCTCTCTTTTTTTTCTTCTTCTTCTTATTCTCTAACATTTACCTGGTCAATCACTCTCCTTGTAACTCTCTAACACGATCACTATCTTCATCCACATCCACATCATCTTCGATATACTGGACTTTATGTCTCTCTCTCACTCACTCACTCTTCTATCATCATGATAGTTGATTTTACTCGTTGATTTATTGCATCAATTTGCTTGATTCTCTTCCTCATCTTCATCTTCATCTTCATCTTATTTCTCCTCTCTCTCTCTCACCAAGAAATTGATAATATGTTTCTCTTTCTTTATCAATATAATCATCTTCATCTTCATCTTCATCTTTTCTTTTCTTTTCTTTTTTTATTTATTGGAATAACGTGATTTCCATCAGAATCTAAAGATGATAACTGACCATTGCTTCACTTGACCTGTGATATTGTAAAAGTAAACAAAACAATCAAATGTAATCAATTTCTTTGGTGTTAACAAGCTTGACCATTACCATTAAAATTAAGGAGAAAAATTTTATCCACAACCCGGGTTTAGATTTTAATAAAAACTGGTGAGAAATTGTCAAGTTGATTCAAGGTGGTATCTTAGTGGCGCAACTTGGCACGTTCTCAATTAGCAATATAAGCCGAAATCAAGTCAAGGTTTTGTTGATATCCGAACAAAAAAATGATGCGTGATTGACATGAGACGAGAACCAAACTATTAAGTAATAAGCGAGAGACTTGACAGATTTTAGTTGAATGAATTTACTGAGATTTTATTAAGAAACATCAGATCAAAATGTTCAAAAAATTAAAAAGAAATTATCGGTAATTAAACAGCGAACTTAGTAGTAAAATGTTCATTTACTGATCAGTTTTTTTTCGTCTCATGTTTATCTCCAGTGAGCGATTTCTATAGAAATTTGACAAAAAAACTATCAAATGTCTTGGTGGAGACTATTCGAAATGTAAATAAGAATTCAACAGTTACATATTAGTTAATTGTCAATTTCTTTTTAATCCCTCTCATAATTTCCACGCAAGATTCCAAAAAGGTATCTCAAAGATCTTGTACAACAATTGAAGTTAAGTGCTTGGCAAGATCTTACAATTCAACTGCATGTACTCAAGTAATTTCTTACATTAAGCGAATGAAAATTTGTTAAAATACCATTTGATTTCTCAGTGATTTTCATTGATGTTCTTGTCAATTAATTAACAATGAGACTATTTAATTTTTGCTGAATAATTTTAATTCTTGATTCTATTTAGCTTAGAGTTGACAAAAAATTGATAGAATATTCATAGGTTTTGTGTTAGGGGAATAGCTTGAGAATAAGGGAAATTATCTTTGGTTTTATCAGAGATCTCAGTAAGCTCTTTATCATTATTATTGTTTGCTGGTTTCTCACAAACAAGTTGACTTGTCACATCATCAGATTTTGAGCTTCCTATTCCTGTTTCCATATTGTCGTGTTTTTTGCGATTTCCTATCTCATCTGGTTTATCCTTTTCCTTGAACTTTTCCTTGGCGTTTTCTTCGTCGTTTCTTTCAATTATTTCTGTTTCTTTTAGCTTTGATTTCCTTGGAGGATTTCTCTTACCACGATCTTTTTGATTACTCGAATCTGAATCGCTTGATGAGATTTCAGTGATATCTGTTTTCTTTGCTTTCTTGACAATAGGCTCTGAGTCTGTGGCTGAATCAGATGTATATTCATCACTGAGACGTTTCTTGGCTTTTTTTACATCTCTTCCTTTTTGATTTATATGATATTGAACTACATGTTTCCAAGTTTTATCTGATGTGAATGTATCATCAAAAACTGATAGAACTCGTCGTAATCTTGACTCTTGTTGTACATTGAAGACATGAGGCCTCTCACTTTCTCGCCGAGATCTTTCCCGCTTTCCATTTCTGCCAAGAAGGTGGGTGAGAAGGTCTGTACCAAATAGAATCGTTCCGATATTCGAAATCATCTTGGTAATTCGTCTCTCCCATCTTAGTTCATCCATGATATTTTTCTTATCCCTTTTACCCACTTTTATAATTTCCCATGGAATTTTTGATAATTTCTCTTCAAAATTCTGGTTCAATCTTCGTTTAGCAACTTCAGAGGTACAATGTTGGAGTAGTTCAGAGACTTCTGATGACGATGGAGCTCGAGTTTTCCTGTTTTCACATGAACTTTTCTCGATGATTTCATCCAATTTAGTTTTCAAGTTCTTATTTTCATTATCAAGTTTATCCAATAGATTCTTCACCTCTTTTTGTTCAGATCTCATCACGGCTAGAAGCTTGTAGATATCGGAATTATGATTGGGATCATTAGGAGTTATTGGTGTGTTTCTTGTTGATCTTGTTGAGTTTCTACTAGTAGATGGCTCTTGTTCGTCGTGAAAAAAAACATCTTCATCATTCTTGAGAGAGTTGATCAAACTCTTGCCAGTATCTCGATCACCAAAATAAACGATTCTGTAAATTTCTTGTCCATTTTCTCTTTTAGGGTCACAAATCAGAATTTCATCCTTAGCATACTTTTCAATTTTGATCCTACCAAGAGTTTTTGCCTCTCGTAATTTAACTGAACACGTTTCCGTATTATACAAAATCACATAAGCACCTTTAAAACATAATTATAAATTAATTAATTGTGATTTTTAAAAAAGAACTTCACAATCTCTCATTGAAATACTTACTTGATTTAGGAAGCGAAAAATCACTTGTTGAGAGAGCTGAATCACAATCAAAGGTCATTTTAATAACTTTTGAATTAACAAAAAATTTAAACTATTCTGGAGAAATTGTTGAGATGATGTTGATTTATTAACTTTGAATGGAAACGGAAATAGATGATCAAGATGATTGCCCTCTACTTCCACTTTTATTAAAAGATTTGATTTGTGATAAGAGCAATTTAATCTCTTTATCAAATATAAAATCAATTTTGATTATCTTATCAGTGTTTAAATATTATCTTTTCTGCAAACAAATGTTCAACAAGATCTCATCAACGCGTAAACGAGCTCGTGTAAGAGGCTTTGAAAATACACTCGATAGAATTTACGATCAAATCAATCAATCTTTACCAGTTTTCCATCAAGAAACAAATTCTACATCTAGTGACTCAACAACATCCGAAATTGCTTACGATGAGACAAGTTTTGCTTCTTCTTCATCAACATCTTCGCAAGATTCAACTACATCAGAAAATTCATCTAGATTCTCAATTTCAACTAGTTCTCATGAATCCCAGCAAGAACTTGATACAGTTTTAGCAACCCATCAAGATCTTGTTAATATTGCTGAATCTCACAATGATATTTATGGATTATCACTAGTGATTTCACAAGTGTTTTCTGAATGCAATTTGAATGAATCAGCTCAAAAACGGATATTTGAACTCATCAAGATAGTTTCAAAATGCAAAGTCAATATTATGGAGTACTTTCGATTCAAAAACGTTTTGAATTCGTTATCAACGATCACGACATATAAATTTCTTTTCTGTTTTCAGCAACAGGAAATTGTCGATTTCCCTGCAAGATCACGATGTTGTACTGGAGCTCATGGAGAAATTGTCGTATTCAACTTTTTGGATACAGTCAAAAACATTGTGAACAATAATTACCAGTACTTATCATGTTCTCAGATCCAAGAAACAATTGATTTAACTAAGACACGACTATACAAGGAAATCTGGCAAGATCCTGTTAGAATCAACGAAACTTTGAGGATCACTTTACTTGTTAATATTGACGATGCTCAAATGATTAAATCGTCAAGAGCTTCTACAACTCCGGTTCCTTTCACAGTTGCTGAGCTTCCAAGTTATCACAGAATTAAGAAAAATAATATATTCAATCTGGGTATTTATCATGGAGAGAAAGCATGTTCACCTGATGTAATCTGGCAGAAAGTACTAGTTGAACCATTTATGGCTCTTGGTATTATCTCATCAAATGTTCAGCAGGAGATCTCGTACACTGATAATCCGATTTCTGTTGACACCAAATATGGATGTATTCAAGTTCTTGTCAGGATTGGCTGTGCGATAATGGATAGTGTTGCCAAAGCTAAAAATTTAAACATAAAGTCATTTATGGGTTATTATGGTTGTCCTTATTGCTTAATCCAGGGAATGCGACTTGTTAATGAAGAGCAAAGATCGGCAGTTTTTGTTTACCCATATGAATCTGACTCATTTTATCCTCTAAAAACTAGCCATTTTTATGATGAAGCTGCTGAACTGGCTGAATTTCAGGGTAGACCCCACCAAGGAGTGAAAGGAAAAAATATTCTTGCTAGTTTCTTGGCAGTTCCTGATGCTATACCAATTGACTACATGCATAATATCTTGGAAGGAGTCTTCAAATTTCTTCTTTCTCTCAAGCCCTTCAAAACAACTCGAGTTTGTCAAGCTCTTGATGGAAAAGTAGCAAAAATTAAGCTTCCTCATGATATATCAAGAAAGTTCAGAAAAATTAGTGAGATTTCATACTGGAAAGCGTCCGAATGTCGTACATTTCTTTTCCATCTGATTCCACTGTTTCGAGAATTGATTGATGACGACTCATTTATGCTCCTCCATTGTTTATCAACATTTACACGCATCTTCTCAATTCCAAGATCACAAATAACGAGACAAGAATTTGACCAAGGGACGCAATTAATTGATTGGTTCTTGTCAAGCTTTCAGGAAATATATGGCCAAGAAAAAATGAGATTCAATTTACATTTACTTTGTCATATCCCAAAACAATACTCTAAAATGGGGAGCTTGATAGATGTTTCTGCTTTTTGTTTCGAAAACAATGTTTTTCGCCTGAAAAGATCATTTCACGGGACTCGTGGTCATATTGATCAAATGGCAAAAAGTTATGTACTTGAAAAAGGAATGAACAATTACAAAAATGATATCGACCAATGGTTAACTCGATTCGATCCTGACAAGAAATTATCAATAAATTATTCAGAAGAACGTAAAAGTTTTGAACACGTTGGTGCTCAAGATCCTGATCATGTAATAAATGCTGATTTTCTCTCTGGGAGCGCATCTAATATTAGGCGAGAAACTATTAAATGTTATCACAGTTTTAGAGTGAATCATGTAGTTTATCATAGCATCAATTACAAGTACAATCGAAGCTCTTGTAGTTGGGCAATAGCTTATGAAGAAAACAGCCTCAACTATGGTCAAGTTCTTGCATTCTTCACAGCAAATGATCTTGGATATAATCTAAAGTCTTTTGCCTTAATCAAACAGTACAAAATAATGGAGAGACCCAACCTCGTCAAGAACTTGAAGCCAAATCAAAGATCACTCAAACGTGCTTGCTTATTATCTTCTTGCAATGAAACTTACAAACTGTTACTTTTGACTGATAAGATCCTGACAATTAATTGTAACAAAATACAATCTAAATTAGTGTTGATACCTTATCAAGAAAATTATGTTAAGGTCTGGGCATCAAAGATCGATACACAGTTTGATCATGATTGAAATAAATAATTACCTAACAGTTGTAGATGTGGTAACGGCCCCTTAACAAGAAAGCGCGTTTATTCTCTGGAGAACTTTTTTTATTCTTTTCAAATTAAACTCTTTTTTTATTGATTTTTATCTTGATTTTTTGATATGAGTGAGAATTCAACAACAATTGAATTAATAGATTATTTCTCACCAATGTATTCACAAAAGAATAGTCCCGCTACTGATCAATCTGAACCATTAAACTGGTCAGTTCCTTTACAAGGTAAGTTATTTCATTTACTTATTTGGTGAGCTTTTAATAAATTTCTTTTTACATCTTTTCAGTTGGCTATCTTGTAATGCAAGAAATTGGCTGTGGAGATATCAATGTGATCAAAGCCGATAGTCTTGGCAAGAGCTTGAAGAGCTTATTCGAAAGCTACACAGAAAATGAGCCTGTTTCATTCATAAATTTCAATGGAAAGAAAATTCATTCGTTCGTCAAGTTTTATGGGGATAATGAGCAGTGTTCAAAAATGTTGGAACATTTTCGCCAAGAAGCAAATGAGAAAAAAATTGCAACCTTGATGCCTCAGCAAGATCTGAGAGAGAATGAAGCAGTCATCCCAACAATCGACTTAACAAGATCTCCACAAAAAATGAAGAAGATTCGAATCAAACAAGAAGAAACAACCAGTTTCAATGATAAAGTTGAATCAATTTTCAAGACTCTTGGCGAGCTTACCAAGAAAATTGACAATATTGAAGCAAATATTACTCATATCAAGCAGTCAAGCTCTTGTCAGAGCAAGCCAGAGAAACCAGAAGGAGCCACATCGGGTTATGCTAAGCCACAAAAACTTGTCGGCGCTGAACTTACAACTGAATTCATCAAGTTACTGGTCACAAAACGTGAATCACCTGATGTAAGTATTTATCAAGCCTTTATATTACACCAAGATCTTGCCTAATTCTCAATTCTTTTTTATTCATATTTAAGTGGCGAAAAAAACTACGCGAAACTGTGATCAAAGATGTGAGTCCTCAGCAATCAAAGAATATTAAAGAGCTTTTTCTCTATGGTTCCGTAAGTGTTGGATCTTTCATGCGCTCATTAGCCAGGGAACTTTTTGGAGAAGAGAGAATAGTGGCAACTTTACTAGGAGAAGATGGTGAGTTCTTGAAAGGAATCAAGATGAACCAGGACAGGCATCAATTGTTCAGTGTCGAGGAAGAGATGAAAATCATCGAGACCTTGAAGATAATCGACGCTGATTTTTTCACAAAACGTGATGTTTATCGAGTATTGGTGAGAGATAAAATCAATTCATTTGGACGTGATTTAAAAAAATCCATGGATCTTGACAAGTCTCAGTCAACCAGTAATAGGAAGTCAACAAGCTCTTCAAAGTCATATAACATCACCAGTTACTTCAAGAAAATATCAAGAGCTGGAAATCAACAAGATCTTGTGAAGGATAATTCTGATGAACCAGTTGCTGGACCATCAGGGCAACAGCAGCGCTTCGACGAGAGTCCAAATACAAGCTCTTATGAAACACCTGATCGATCTGATACAGAGTGAGATCTCACACGGTAAAGTGTCATTTTCTTAGCAAGTCATCATATGTTTCCGACTTGCAATCATTTCTTACTTTTTACTCAAAATAGTTGCAATTTTCCGATAGAATCTTGACAAAATTCTATCAAAATAGCCAAACCTATCTTCTCGTTATATCTTATCAGTTTATCCATTTAAACTCACCAAAATCTTGGTAAGATAAAAAATACAATTTTCTATCAACTTCTTTTTACTTTTTGTTACAAGTCTAACCAAGTCCATACAAATATTATGGAAAGTATATTATCACTGATTTCCCGTTTAAAGCTCACTGGTTAAAATTTTTGTGTGATCTATTCTTGACAATCCATTGTAAGACTCAAATCTTAACAAGAACTCACTGAATTCTCAATAAATTCTGACTTTCTCTTAATTTTTAAGATTTTAATATGCTTCTTGATGGAACATAGCAGCGAAAAGTGTCTGTTCATGAATTTGATATAATTGATAAAGAAATCAGTAAGATTACATAATCTATTGAGTTCTTGATGATTTCACTATTAAACCTAAACCCGGGAAAACTGACCAATTTGATTTATTCATTAACACTCTAAACAAAAAGCATCTGGTCATCTAATAGATGATCATATCAAGATTATCATCCTCATCCTCGTCATCATCATCTTAATGATTATATTATCAACAGAGGATATTGTTTACTGCAGATTAGTATTAGATTAATGATAAATTACCATTGATAAGATCATCATCTAAATCAAATGGTTGATCAAACATTGATCATACATGTTGACTATTATTATGATATCTAAATATATTTATATATCAATTTATGCTTGACCAATGGTCAATAGTTGATGATGATAATAACAAAAACCAAACCTAACAAGTTAATATTATTGATTGTAAACCTTTAATAAAGTTATTGTATCTCTCTGTTGATAATCAATTGACACATGAATTCAAACTAGGTGTTGGTCAGTTGATGTTTCATATAAATATAACTTTGACAGTTGACCTATGGCCTAAAGTATATATTCAATTGTTAGTCTATTAAAGCATAATATCAAGGTGAGTGTTCAAAAAAAAAACCAATAATTGAAAGTGATATTGATTTGAATTGTGATATAAACCAATAGGATTGGTTAACAATTCAACAGAATCCGAAATCACAATTGATGGAAACATTTTTTTATGTCTTACACCAATGGTCAGTAATTTTCTTGGTTTCAAGGGAAGGTCAAGGGTAAATGATGCATAAGTCAGCTGACCTTTAGAGGTTCGAGTAGTGACCTTTGATTATTTATTTACAGAGAGAGAGAGAGTGAGTGGCCTCTGTTTAAGAAAGAGCAATGATATTAACCCTTGTTAATAGAACCCGAAAAAAGAGAGTAACGAAAACTAGGATTGACTTTTTACTTTCTTTTTTACTTACTTTGCTTTCGAGTGACCAAACAACAAAACAAAAGTAACACTTGAACACGAAAGTGAGAGAGTGGGTGAGAGAGAGAGAGAGCAAAGTTATCATCGTTATTGACCATTGAAAGTAAAGGATGAAGATGAGGATGAGGATGAGGATGGTTTTTGATGGTGATCATCTTGATACGGATAAATGGCTTCTCGTTTAGCTTTTTTTTTATTGAGTTTTGTTTGTCCTTTTTTTTCACAACTTGACCGTTGGAAAAAGTTTCATTTGATAAATGAATTAACTCTCTCTCTCTTTTTTTGGCCTTTTTTTTTGCTTCTTTACTGGTCAATGGTCAGTTTCCAATAGGTTTTATGACAACTTGATGTCTCTCTCTCTTTTTCTGTTACCATGTAGAAAATATGATCTCTGTCTTTATTTTGTATCATCTCTGATTTTCAGACTTCTACTTGTGTCCATTGATAATCACATTTTTCAAGTGACAATTTGCTGTGATTGCTTGTCATCGTAAGTCATTAATTGTATACAACTCGTTAATTGTGAGTGATTTGTGTGATTCTCTATGGTTATGTCTGATTTAGTTTCTAAATCACAATCAATTATAATATCATACACATTAGTTTCTTTGTATCGCTTTTCAAATACTCATTAGATTATCATTATTAATTGTTGATTAGATTTTTCTTTTTGTTTTTTTCCTGGAATTGATTATATTTGCAATGTTATTATTGCCTTTTTTTCAGTTAAAGTAAAAGTGAATTGCCAATGATGAAGATGATAAATAAAAAGAGAAATGGAAATGGAAATAAGATGAAACTAAACTGAAAGAGATGAAGAAAATGAAGAAGAAGAAGATGAAGAAGATGATGATGATGATTTTACATGGGAAGCACGAAACATCCTAGTAGAGAAAAAGAAACTGACCTGACCTTTTCTTTGGTATATAAATTGTTTTAATGTTGTTCGGTCGATGACCGATACTACTGATGATGAGAGTCTAAGACGTTATTTACTAGGAAAAATACGAAATTAAATTGAGGAGGAACAAGAAGATGAAGATGCAAAGGAAGATGAAGACTAAATAGTAAGTGTGTGAGAGAGAGAAAGAGAGCTAGAGAATAACATTGGCCTCTCAATGGCCTCAGAGAAAAGCTATGATTTAGAATTGGAAAAGAATCCAGGGAGAGATGGTGAGAGAGAGAGAGAGAGTAAATATAACACTAAAGATGAAGATTGGGGAGGGTCAAGAATGCAGAAGATGATGATGATGATGATGAAAAAAGTAAAAAAGAACTAAAATTATGTACATAAAAAGTAAAAGGAAAAGCAATTTGATGCTTTTGTATTGGAATGAAACGAAGGCAAAACAGTGAAAGTGACCAATACTGACCATCATCATCACTATTTACTGATTGTATCGAAAGAAAGAGAAAGAGAAAGGAAGAAATTGTCTTGCAAACAAAGAATGAAAGAGAAAATAAAGAAGAAGAAAAAAAGATTGGAAAATCTCGTCTTGACCATTGGTTCCAAAAGGGTCAATCGTTACTCCCTCTCTCTCTCTCTCTCTAACAAACGTTGTAATATCGTCGCACAGTTAAGATAACAATGCAACTTTTTTACCCTCGAGGCAAAAACTTTTTCATTATCATTGCATTTGTATTGAAAATCATTGATAGTAAATAATATTTATACATTTGGAGACTTTAAATTTTCCTCTTTTTGATTATTGAATCAACTTGTCCAGTGATGATTATGATGACCATTGATATTAATTACTGAACCATGAATGGTCACTATTGGATAGTAATAATAATATAAGGAATAACAACAAAAAAAAACAATTCTATTCAAGGTTAAAGTGTCGATAATACTTTTAATACAATATCTTAACTCCCAGAATATATAATTTTCATCTTCCCTAATCATTATCATTATCATCCTAATCTTCATAATCATCATCACCCCAAAAGGTTTGGTACTGACCAAGGTCCAAGCATACAAATACATAAGGTAAGGCTACAACATTAAATGATCAACTCTTACATTCATTTGCAATAAGAAACCATTAAAAAGTGAGCAAGAAAAAAAAGTTATCCTTTATTATTGATCATTGACCATTGGTCATTTACAAAGATATGTTATGACCCATAACAATTACCTTTTTTTTTAAGGTTGGTTAAACTTTCATCTTCTCCATGTGTGATGATGAAGATGAAGAGGTGCTAAAGATTAAGATGATGATGATGATGAGGATGATAAAGGTAAGGATTTTTTTTTCTGTTCTTTTTCTGTATTTTTCTCCTTCGGCTTCAATGAACTGACCATTGGCTATCGTCAGCTTAAGAATGTGTCTTGGAAAGTGAGCTGCTTATTATTATTATCCTGTTTGCGATTGTCAAGTAATTAGACTAATTTAATTGTAACAATTTAGTTACAATTTAACTTTTCTCTTGTTTTCCTTTTCATGATTGCTCAGTACAATTAACGGTTAATAATGACCAGTTATCAATTTCTCTTGACCATCAATCATTTGTATTAGGTTCTAATTAAAAGCAAACGGAAATTTAAAAGTTTTCTAGACGATAATCTGTTAAATTGTTACAAATAACAGTTAATCAGCTGATACAATATGGCTACAAATGACAATGACGATGACCAATAGGTGGACATGATGGTTACCCTGATAGGAAATGAATAATGAATAATCCATAGTCTTAGTTGAAAGTTACCTTGAAAATTGTCTCACCCAGATCGATAATTGTTCAGTAATTGTTATCATAATTTATTTCCACTGGTCATCACTACGCATGAAAATCATTAGATTGTAATGGTCAGTCGATTGGAAATGAACTTGAAACTCAGTTTCATCATTCATATTTTCATTCTGTACAAAGTTAATTTGACTTTTAACTTGGTGTTTCCATAAAATATTAGCTTTTTTCAACGAGAAAACTTGACCAATGGTCATTTTCCCTTTTGATACTTTGTGATTTACATTAGATGAGAAAATGACCCTTCCCCTGAGGGTCAGTGAGGCTCGTCGATTGGAAAAGGCTTTATTTCAAAATGGTAAGTTTAATTGTCTTAATATTTCCAATTTCTTTTCACTGTTAATTAACTAATTGGATTGACTTGTCTCTCAATCAAGGTAATAACAACAATCACATTATTGTCGATATCTTGACCTCTCTCAATAGTGACCAAAGGTTACAATTGGTGTCAACATATGAGAAACTTTTTGCTCGACCTTTAATCCTTGATTTACAAAGTGAATTAGGAGGTTTATTTGAAGATTCATGTGTAACTTTGGTCAAACCATATCACGAACTGAATGCTGATATTATCTATTCATCGTTAGTGGTCAGTTGGTCATTTTTTCCCACTTGGAATCACAATTCAATTTGACAAATTTTCTTTTCCAATTCCATGTCTTTTATTGTTGATTCAATAGGGAGATAAATTCACATTATTACCAATCATTGATGTTTTTTTTACTCACACCAATGGTCAGTTAAACAAGATCCGGGAACAGTTCATTGAAAGTAAGTTAATCATAAAATCAATCAAACGATTAACTGACCAAACAATAATAATGATAAGGTAAAGAAATAATCATTTACCATTTGATCATTAATTATCCTCCGATAATTGTTTGATTAATTAAGGTAATTGATTTTCTTATTCATAATGATGATTATGATTACAGAGAAGTCGATTCCTGACTGACCATCACATCATTGTCTCTCTCTCTCTCTTTCTCTCATGAGTATTGGTCAGTCTATTTGATAGAAAATAGTGAAAAAAAAGAAATGAAAAAGAAAACAATTTCCATATGATAATCAATGATCTGATTAATTATGAGTCACGTAATTGTGTCGAGGTCAGTGGTTAGGATTAATATATAAACTGACCATAAGTAGAAGTGAAAAAAATGAAACAATTAAAGTTGACAAAAAAAAGAAACGTGAGAATTGATTAATCTGATGAAATTAACTTCGATTAAATGTCTTGATCATTAAATTAATTAACCTAATTTAGAATTTATTTTTATCATGAAAAGTATCATGTTGACTGATTATCATTTCCTTTGTCTCTCTCTCTCTCTTGATTTAACTTCCGGTCAAGAGTATGGAGGTGATATAAATGAGTATTTGATTAACATCCCAGATTCAAATCTATTTGAAATTACCAATCGGATATTGAACATTGATCGTGACTCGGACGATTCAGTTGATCTGTATCTTGCCTACGAAGAGGTTGACCAGTTGAATTCAGTAAGTTCCGAATTTTTTGAAATTCATATTTTATCATGTTGACCATTGGACACTTTTTTCGGGTCTTTTCTTGTTTATTGAAACTTTAGTCTGGCCTTGGACTTTCATGGACTCGACAAAACGAGTTTCTTGATCTACTTTGCACTCGAAGTTTCGATCAACTTTCCTTGACCATGAAAATTTATCACCAAGTGACCGGTGGTCATCTTCAAGATGATATCAGTCGTTACTTTGATGGCGATCTACATGATATCTTTTCATCAATCGGTAAGTGGTCAGCATCAAATAAGAATACGACTCGAACTGATCTGATATCTTTTTCGATTATCTAGTCTCTTGCATCCAATGTCCAGTTGATTATTTCGCTGGTCGGATCAATGAAAGTCTCAAAGGATCATTGAACAACGATCAGAATATAATTAATATTTTCGTAACTCGATCAGAGGTAAGAGAGAGAGAGAGAGAGAGAGAAAAGAATTAGAACAAAGTTCTAACATTCGAAGGAAAAGTTTCTCAACTAATTTGAACTTTTTTCTTTTGATTCTATTTATTAATAGATTGACCTTTCGCAGATCATTAAACGATATTCATCGATATTTAGGAAACAATTAAAAGACGAAATTAAACAATCAATGAAAGGTGATTTTCGTCGACTTTTATTGTCACTTATTCGTAAATCAGAGCAAACTAATTACACTGAATCTAATTAGAGATCAATTGTTAATTAGAGGTTAGTAATCAATGTAATTACTATTAATAATAAATAGTAACAATTAAATGGTATCTTAGCCGATTGATTTGATTAGTTGGTCAGTATTTATTAATATTTTTCATGATAATTTTGGAACTTCACAAAATCAGTTAACTATTAATTCTGTCTGAACGGAAGTAACTTTTTTTCATTGTCATCATGAACATTACCATGTTCTCATCCTGATGATATTACTTTGAATAATAATGGTGAAAATCATTGTATTCAGACAAAGGTTGAACTGTTGACTGATTTATCCGATAATGAAAACAAGGAAATGAATATGAAATTGATGCTGAAATTCAAAGGTGAAATTGAAATATATTTCATTTGTGAATTGATGCTAATGATGATGATGGAAAGAGGATAAAAGGTGTACTGTCAAGGTAGATTATCAGGTAAACAAATGAGAATACAATTGACTCATAATCGTATCATGAATTAAATGAAATCAAGAATAAGAGGAAAATTTCATTGTAATTTTGATCTTTGATAATAGTAGGAAGTGGTTATTGAAACAAAAACAAATTTCACGCAAAACGATAAGATGATTAAGATGATGGAAGATGAGAGAGAGAGAGAGAGAGAGAGAGAGAGAGAGAGAGAGAGAGAGAGATGAAGAAGAAAAATGAAATTTCATTGATATGTTCCATCATATTTCAACATCTTCATGATGATGTTGATCAATTAGAAATTATTCTTGACTCTCTCTCTCTCTCGCTCTCTCTGTCTGTCTCTCCCTGCGTGATTTAAATAAACTTCCGGAGAAAGTGATTACTTGTTATCAAATAACCGGAAAAAGAAAATTCAAAAAAATATTGATTAGATGGTGAAGAAAATATCTCTCGTAATCTCTTTCTGTTATCATCTTTTTTATCACCTTTTGTCAGCTGAAGTTAAGCTTCAAATTGTATATCTAACTGAAACTTGTTTCAACGATTGTTAATTACCCAAGAACAATTAACCAATCCAATTGAATAAATATCATTAATTGTGATGATGAACAAATAAACACCTCAAATTAACATCAGTGAGTAACTTTACCCACCACGACCATCAACCACTTCAAGTCATGTCTCTCCCACTCTCTTTTTCTTAACGGTTATATTGAGTAACCAGTAACAATTATCATCTTCATTAACTCTTATTATCATCATCATTCAAACAAAGCAATGAAAACAAAGAGAGAGAGAGACAGAGAGAGAGAGAGAGAAGATAAAGAGGAAGAGAGATGAAGATAAAACGTAAGAATAAGGAAACAAGGAAGAGGAAGATGATTCATTTTTTGGATGTTATTTTAACCCCTTAAGACAAAAGCTCACACTTTTATACATTTATCTTCATGACGATGATGATGAAGATGATAATTACCTGGGTGAGCATCGTGTTCACAGTTGATAATATTTATATATAAATAAAATTTGGAAGAAAAAAATTTTATTAGTGAAAATTTAATATTTACTTTTGATCATCTTTGCAAGTGATGAAAAGTGAAGATGAGGAAAAGCAGAAGCAAAAATAACGGTAAAAAAAGAGGAAGTTGAAATGATGAGAAGGATCTAATAAAAAGTCATATAAACAAATCTATTTCCGGAAAGTAATAATTTTCACCTTATGATCAAATTATCTGTTATTATATTGATTCAATTGTATTTTTATATAACTACTTTTACCATGATAATGATGATACAAATAAAGATGATGAATATGATGTTCCCAGTAAAAGGTCACCGTTATGGTCAAGGTTAGTTGTTAATTTCTTTCGGTTGATTGTTTATTCATGATTAACTTAAATTCAATATGAAACTTGTCTGAGTTTCTTGATTGTTTTATTACTCTATGGTCAAGTTAAGTCATCTTCTCATGATGATGATGATGATGATGATATTTTTTTATGATGAGAAGATTTCAAATTCTTGGAATTATATAATCTCAGAATTGATAGAGACACATGAAGATAAGCATGATGATGATGAGGTTGATAATGAAGATGAAGTGAAACATGAATAGCCTGCGGTCATTTTAACAACACTGTTAACTAACCTTGTTTGGTTCGTTTTTTTTCTTACATGTACTTACTTTCCGATGTTAGTAATTTTCATTTGATAATATATATTAATTTACCTGAGATGTATTATCATTCATTAATACCATGAAATTTCATCATCATATATCTCTCACCAGGAACTCTGGTCTCCATCATTATAATCATCCTCCCCTGAATACCCTAAGTAAGTGTAATTAGTAAATATAATCATTTTTTATTCAGTAATTTTTTCTGTCTTTTTTTTCTTGGTGTAAATTTGTTCAATCAGTTGAACCCTTTGGCTGAATTTTTTCATCATCATCATGAGAATGAGGATGAGGATGAGATTGAAAGTTTTTTCCTTGACTTGTGAAAACTTCAGGGTGATTCTTAGATTGTTAATTACAATCTCATGAATCAACCTGTAAAATATAAGTTCCAAGTTCTCAAATATTTTCCAGCAAATTTTCAAAGTTCATTTGTATTTTTTTCTGCTAGTATTTTATATATATATATAAATGATTTTGTTAATTAGCTCAACCATTAATTAGTTAACTGTAATTAGATTCATGAAATAATGATGATGATAATAGGAAAATAATCAGACAATTAACAAAATGATGAGGAAACATTAACTCATCTAATCAGCTGATGATGAATTCAGTAAATTGTTGCAATCAAATTGTATCAATTTGGTTTGATTGTTGTAACAAATTAACAATTGATCAAGAGATAATCCACAATTTAGATTTATTTGCCATTCCTTTTGCTAGATTATATCGGAAATAGTTTTCGTTTCCATGATTAAGATTACCTGAGAAATTGGATTGACAAAGTAAATTAAAGTGTAATCCATTAATCTTTCAATGTTAATCAACAATTAAATCAAATTGAAAAACTTTGGTAAAGTTTTTCCTCTTGCTTTTCAGATTGCTAATCATTGTAATCATTGTTGGTGCTACCTGTTGATGATTTGATTGTACTTTTATTGATGGAAAAGGGTTTAATTGTTGCAAAGGTAATTGTCACCAATGATCAAAGTAAATTGTTTCAAAGAATTAGAAACTTTTTTGTCAAATGTCAACAACAGTTAACTGAAAGGTAAAGGTGAATGTACTATGAGAGAGATGACTTATTGCTTCCTCATCCATTTAATCTCGTATCAGAGAGAGAGAGAGAGAGAGAGAGAGAGAGAGAGAGAGACAGTTAATCTCATCTTCTTGTTAATCGTTATGTTGTTAACCTGTTTGTCGTTTTCATCTTGACTCTTTTTCTTGCCCAGGTAAAGATCAAACAAAAAAGAGATCACCTTGAAAAGAAGATGATTTCTTTTTCTATCATTATCATCAAGATGATAATGATTATGATGATGATGATCTTAATCATGATATTTTTGGTGTCATTTGTTTGGTTTGTTTCAGTCTCATTGAAATATCATTAACATCAACATCTTTCACTCAGAGTTTGTTGATCTTTGAGAGTGAAAGTTTATATTACTATGAACACAAGGTTAATCCATTGAACCATTCAAACGTTTTTCTTCAAACAGAAATGGAAAGAAAAAAAAAAGTTTCAGTCATCATGTTGATGACTGATTTCATTGTATTCTATCATCATCATCAGCACGTATCATCATTTAACTAATCACGGATCATGGTAAAGCCTTTCAAATGTACGTGCGAATCATTTGAATACTCATATTGAACTTTTATCAATCAATTAATTGTTTACAAACGTTTCATTTTTTATAATTGTTTTTTCTACTTCTGAATAATTTATTATTCATCTGATTGTCAATTCAATTTCATTTCAGGAAGAGAGAGAGAGAGTTGATAATTTAAAAGGTTAATTGTTGGATTAGGTCATTAATCCTTAACTTAAAGGTAAGAAAATTATTACTTATTGATTATTGGATTTAACAGTAATCGCTTTTGAATACGATTAAAAGTGTCAACTTTAATTATCAACCTTTTAATTAAACGTAATTTACATGATCAATGATTTAGTTTGTTTTTTTCTTCATCTTTATGGTTAAATCATTTGAATGATTAGTTAATCATGATTATATTGTCAAATGTTGTAACCGCAAACCCTTTTAACTTTGTTGTTTTTGTTTACTGAACATTTGACATTCGGATTAGTGTTTAGTTGGATTAATTTTCAATTGGATTTGATGGTAATAAACAAAAAGGTAGAGATTTAAATTTACAGGTAAGAAAAAGGTGACAAATTAAATCTCATTAAGTTGTTACGTTTCAAGGTGATGAAGATGATGAGGATGATGAGGATGATAGAGAGAGAGAAAGGCTTTTTCTTCATCGAATCAGAAAAGTAGCAAGATAATCATGTTGAATATTTGGTTACCTGAGATGAATTAATAATTAGTTTGAAAAGTTTAATGATTTATTTTAATTTCTAACGCAACAATTTAACCTTTACTTGATTGATATGGATTAATGATTAAATCTAAGTAGTTGTCTCGTTGATTTTATTTGATTGTCTTATAACAATCAAAAGTATCATTTTGCAAATTGTCTAGTTAATTGTTTGATTGACAAATACAAATTGAGATGAAACTTAAATTCATTCATGTTACTTGAATATTATATTGAACCCTCAATATAATAATATACAAATTGGCCAAGAGTTAAAGGTCAAGGTAAGTGAGAGAGTGAGAGAGAGAGGGTCAGTAAACGATTTCTAAACAGAGGCAGAAGTTGAGATTGGAAACAAAGTGACCAGTGAAGGGGATAAATATGTTTAAAGGGATAATAGTAATAAGATTAATATAATAAGTCACCAAAGGGACAAATGTCATCATCTTCCTCCTTTTGCAAATGATGATGATGATGATGATACATAAATATATTGGGTCTTTCGGTCAAGCGGCCGTCAGGCCATCAAAGTCTGTTGCCCTCTCTCTCCCTACATAATAGGGAAACTGACCCTTTGCTTCCTCCTCTTTGACACAAAACTGATTATAATGTTCACCATTCAAGTCTCTTGACCCCTTTGTCTTTTACTCCAACAAATATCACCATTGGCACGTCCTTTTTGGGATAATATCTTTACTCTCGTGCCAATCAGTTAAGACGCAAAAAAAACACACACACAGACACAGACACACATGCAAATGTATTACCAAGGACGAGGTCAAAATAAAGCGGAAGAGGTTTTTTGGTCTTGCTTCTCGAGGTCACCAATGGTAATACCAACAAATAGGAAGTAAACTATTGATCAATTGACAATTTCGTAAACTAAATGTATATTTAAATGTCCTTTTCATTAAAACGGAAGTGATTCTCACTAACATATATATACAAGCCCAATGGTTTATGACCTTCAAGCTTTAATTTTTACCCGTTAACCTTTAGATGTTGTGATACATTGACTTTTTATTAGCATTTCTCTTTATTCTTGTTAGTTATTCTTGACCATTAAAGTTTATATGGTCAACCATTTAGTTTTTATATAACTTTTTTTCTTCATAATACTTTTGACCTTTTGTTTGATTCATTTATGTGGATACACATGATAATCATTATCACTGAACTGACCATTAGTAATATG